ACCAATGTAGGGAACTGCTCTGATTTTCTTTCAGTCAATCATTATTCATTATTACGCCCCCTAAGGTACCACTCACTGAACCAATAGGGATACACATAAATAGTACGAAAAAACTCAAATGGAATATTTTTGAAAAGACAAAAATGCCGGATTATCGCCAAATCAATTTGGCCCCAAGCATATTTTTCAATTTCGAAAAAATGAAACACCAAACAGAATAAAATTTAGAAGACTTATTACCAAATGAAAGAAGTCTACATTAGCAACAAATAATGCTTGCCTTTCACACTGGAAGATTGAATTAAAATTTAAAAAATGTGATTTTATGATGAGAAAGAATGAATTTGGTATATGTCAAAAACACAAACACTTCAAATTCGTTTGATAGATTGAGTGTCGTATTGTCAAATGTGTACCTGTGCCGCCCACCATTGTGATTTTATGTTGGATATTACATATATATTACATCGCCTCCATTATCCTTTGATTTTTTTATTATGAGTTAGGATTCAGTTATTGATGCTTTATGAGCCATTGATGCCCCACTCCTATCTATTGACCAATTAATTGTTTGCCCAGAAAAGTATGTCGCCAATTGAAAAAGTTCAAATAAACAAATTGAAAATTGAACAAATTGTAAAGATGATAATGTCCAAGTGGTATTCAGTATCGATAAAAATGCCTTGGTGTCACACAAAAATTCAAACTAAATGTTGTTTGTTAAATTAAAAAAAAAATCTTATCTCCATATGAAAGGTTTATGTGTGTTGTCACAATATCGTTGCTAATAACGGGCCTTGATGATTTCTGAGTGATAACCAAACAAATAATGCCCCTACTTAAAAGTATGCACCAAGTATCGCTCTTATATAATCTTATTTCTTCAATATGCAGACGAGTTAACTCATTCAAGCCGTTATTTATATTCTGAGCACAATGAGAGAGAAGAAAAAAAGAATCGAGGCAACCATCGGTAGAGAGAGAGAGAGAGAGAGAGAGAGAGAGAACGAATGAGAGAGAAACATTATTTGTGACAAGGGTAATTGTGTGAAAAAAGAACGATTGGGGTTGGTAACATATGGAACATAGTTTTGATGAAAATATGCGTGTATGTCTGCCGTATCCTATTGTGTGCTGCTTTGGTTTTGGGCTTGAAATACATGAGAATGTTTGGTCTTCGTTCGAAGAATGGTTGGTTAGTTTTCAGTATTGGTTTTTATGTAATCTCAAACTATTTTTTTGTTGATGCTATTCTAAAAGCATTATGAAATCATGAAAAGCACAGAATGTTCGCCATTTTGACCTTTTGTATTTATATCGAACGTAGTAATAGTAGAATAGAATGATATATACGATGTCATTCATCTTCAAGAGGGCATAATGTATCAACTGGTCTTATGAAAAGCATACTCGACTGCATTTCATTGGGTGAAGCTCACCAAAGCCTCAATTGAAACACGAAGACATAATTTCGATTTTCTGATTCGATTTGATTTGATTTTGCCAAAGCCAAATCCTTTTCTAATAAACACACATTTCTCGTTCTTTTTTTTTTTTCAACAAAAAATCACACGCTTGTCCAACAAGATGTTCTCAAAACATCTAATATTATCAATGGAATAAACAGATTGTCGTATTTTGCTGGCGTTTTTTTTATATTCTCTATGGAATTGTTTTCAAGTTGTAGAAGAATCGACAATGTGAAGAGGAAAAAAAAACAGTAAAAATCCCGCTGAAAAAAAAGTAAATAAGCTCGGATATTGTTCAGTTTCAGCTTTAATTTTGCTGACGATGAACCAATATATGAAATTCCAACAGAAACCACAACAAACACACACTAAAAAAAACGTATAATATTTTGAGGAGAAACGAAAAAAGAGAATCTAAGCTTTTCCATCTACTTAAATCAATCCCTGCAATAAACTAATCTGTCTCTAATAGGTAATATCAATTACTGTGAAAGCATTCACTGCGTTGCTAATCTTCTTACGAATACGCGTTCACAACATTCGGTCGACTCCAATACATCCATGTGATGTGCATTGAAAAACACACCAATGTACGATAGAGTATTAGTGAATTTAAGCTGACATCGGCACGACTTTACTCGATCTAAAGATTTCGAACGCACAATTTTGCTTTCTTCTCTTAAGTTGCTGCTTTCTCGATATGTTCGTTGTCGTCTCACTTTCGTGAAATGGCGCTGGTTTTTTTTCTTCATCTTTTTCTTTGGGTTCATTGTTACTTCTTTATTCGCTTGCAATTGCCATTATTTGTGGTATTCGAATGGCACTGATTCAATCGTAAAACGCACACACACACACAACCATGTGACATGTGGATTTGAATTGCCACTGTCTTGAACTGTATTAAAAGAAACTAGTAAGTTCCTCGTGGCATGGATATGGCACGTAAATTTGAGTCCGTAAATAATGTTCAGCTTACATTATCCGACCAAAGGTAGTCAAGGAAGTGCACTTGTGTGTTCGAAATCGTCATAAACTGGTACGTGATCTTGACAGTATTACCTACTTAAACAAAATAAATTTTCTGCTGTTTCTGATATGAAATATATATCGCAAAAATAAAAATATTGAAACTCACCACAACAAACGCTTTGATACGGAAATTTAATACACAATAGTTCGACTCAATTATGGAACATGCATCAGAAGATATAGATTTTTACGAGAAGAAAAACAACTGTGCTGAACTTGAATGAGATAAGTAGTCTATGGCTCTGTATTACACAGAACAGTAGTGTGCAGGGTCAGATTTATAGAAGGGAGTGATTTCAAAATTGAAGAGCAAGAACGATCCATTTTTTGCTTAAAATGTTGAAATTTTCTTTTTTATTCAGTGTAAATTGTTTGATTTCGGATGCCAAGAGGGAGTCAATCTCCTCTCTAACCCACACTTTCACTACTGTTATAGTAAATTTACCCGCATTAAATAATTTTCATGATACATAATAAACGAGTTATAAACTTTTTCAACACACAAAAAAAAAACCAATGAGTATTCAGTACAATCTAAATGGAGTCAAATCCATTTAATGACTTTCATTTTCCAATTTCTCGATTGCTTTTTATTATAGTGATTTTCTTACTTTACCGTCTGCTATTTCATTTTATATGCTCGAATTTCACGGCTAAAACACTCATATATGTGTGCGTATAATGTGTGTGTGTGTGTGTGCGCGCGCCAAAGGAGCGCCTTCAAGCTTTTCCATATTGAGCGTTGATTTTCCGAATTAGAGAGAGTGAAGTTAATGGCTGACTATATTCGAATGTTGAGACGAATGTGTAAATAAAATCCATTTTCGAAATTTCGCTCAATACCTATGAGAATGCCAAACCGATACACCACTTAAGTTCCTCTTTTCTTTTTGTAAATTCCGATCCAATTGAAGAAGTGCTTTTCTCTTTACATTCACAGTGAATTTTAATTCATTTTCGTGAAAATGGCATACATTTTGAAATAGCAACCGTTAAATTGTATAGTGGATACTAAGCACTAAGGCCGATTTGTTTTTTCCGCAATTCTTGTTCACTTCATTCAATTTGATGTGTGCAGAGGGTTTTGGATGAGTTTATGGTTGCCTATCAAAATACATATTGCTAATATAAAAATCGGCTAACGCACCAATATACGAAGATTTACAAAACCTGAATCAAAATCAAAACGAAAAAAATATATATACGAGATATGGCTTCTGTGGAACTCATAAATTTTCTCAAAGTAACCCATTGCTGTTTTGTATTTTGCTCCTGGCAAACCAAATATTAACATCCTTTAAATGAACAACGTAGATTTCGTACACTAAATACGAATACATTCACGTGTATCAAGTAAAATGTATCAACATTTTTGTTGAGAGCATTTGCCAAGCATACAGTCAGGGTTATGGAAACGGAAAAGTTTTCTAAACACATGTATATATCGTATCTAAATAATAATATGCGCGATAACTACACATATTGGAAAACATAAAAATGTGCTATTTCAAGTTTTCCACAGCCTAAAGGTAAGATTTGTTTCCATCATTTTGCCAACTACCAAAAATTCAAGAGCAAACATGGGCCTTTCTTTAGGGAAACCATACTATCTGCTTCAAAATAGAGATTCATATTAAGGATCGCATTTTGGGCATTAATATAGAGTGGATGCGAAAAATTTTAGAATGCACAATCCATCCTCGCATCTAAATCAATTGCAACAACTTGAAAACATCATATGCAGCATGTTGTTACGCATCTGACCATTACGAACTTATGTCACGATGTACATTGTTTTCGTCGCATGGATATGATTTCATTCATGAAAGTCTCAAAAGTTTTTCAATTGGCCTTTTCTTTTGATTAAACTAGAGACAAATCGACTTTGAAGGAGTGTTGATGTTATATTCGATGATGGAGATCTGATTCAATAAGTGTGCCTTTTCGTAAATCAACAGAAAGTTATTATAATATTAATAAAACGTAAAAATAATATTTTCCAAGTCAGTAAGAAGCACAATAATATTTCATTCGTTTCAAAACTATTCACAATTGTGATTAGAAAAACCTTTGAAAATCTAGCAGCCAGGATTTTGAAAATATTATTTGATTAGAAAGTATTCGAATAAACATGCCTACTTTTGTTCACCCAAAACATCATTTTGTATTTTAAAAATTGTATTTGTGCCGACAATAATGAATTAAATAGTGTTCTTAAAAAAGTAGACATGAAATTGGTTTACACCAACAAAATCGTAATAGGTAGCATCAAATATTCAATACATGAAAAATAGCGACACCTATGAAATGATGTGTGAATATTAAAACCGACAAGGGAAATTCAATGGACTTTTCTGATTTGAGTAAAAGTCAATATCTACAATATCAAAGTATCGTTGGAATATTTGTCATTATTTTTCGATCATTCGATCAGTGTGGTTTAGAAATAATTCCGATCTTAATTTTCAAACAAAATTTGTTCGAAAAATAACAAAATGTTATTCCAATTGAAGCTGTTGACTTTTTCACTTTTCATAACTAACAGTTTTGATCTGGTCTACCCAAGTGATCGTCTGAAGTGTTTTCAGTGTCAAGGCGATGCTGATTGCAATGATGTTGAACAGAAATTGAATCCGAAAGTGTGTAGGATTTATTCCAATAAAGATCAATGCTACACTTATTTCGCTGAAGGTAGACTTATTGCATTTTTTGTTATTTTATGATTACTTTGATTTTTTTTACCAATTTTGAAGAAGGAAAACATTTTCGTGGCTGTTGGAGCGATCAAACCGAGAGTCGAATGTCATGTAAACAAAACGAATCAAAGTGCATAAAATGTGAAGGAGACGGCTGTAATACAGCAACGCAAGCGTCTACACAAGCACCCAACACACAATTACCTACTACAGAAGTACCCACCACGCAAGCACCGAGCACGGAATTACCTACCACTCAAGAATCTACCACAGAAGTTCCAACTACTACACAAGCACCTACCACGCAAGTACCA